ATTCTTTAAGAGGAGGAGGAAGAAGAAAAAGGTAAAGATACAAATTATGAACAACAAATGCACATCTATTAACAAGTGAATCTAAAAATCAAGTGAATAAAAAATCTGATGTACAGAGTAAACTGTGACTATAATAGAATCAGGGGCATAGAAATGGAGTGGACTGACAATTCTTGGGAGGATAGGGGTGTGGGGGGTGCGGGAAGAGACACAAATTGTACACCTATGGATAAGGACAGTGTGCGGGGGGAGGGTAATGGCAGAGGGTGGGGTCGGAACCAGGTGGAGGGGAGCTATGGGGTGAAAAAAGAGGAACAACTATAATAATCTGAACAATAAAGATTTATTAAAATTAAGAAGAAGAAAAAGAGTGAACTTACAGCCACCTCATTTTGGCTCAGTGGTTGAGTTTCAACCCAAGAACCAGGTGGTCACAGTTCGATTCTTGGTCAGTGCACATGCCCAAGTTGGGATCTCGAACCCCAGCAGGAGGCAGGCCATCAATGATTCTCTCTTATTATTTATATTTCTACCCCCATCCTCCCTCTCTGAAATAAACAAACAAACAAACAAAAAGAGTGAACTATAAACCTGAGCCTTGGCTCAATGAATAGAGTGTTGGCCCACGAACTGAAAGGTCCTGGTTTCGATTCTGGTCAAGGGCACGTACTTCAGTTGCATGCCCTGTTGAAGCATGTAAAGAAGGCAACCAACCAATGTATCTCTCTCACATTAATGTTTTTGTCTCTCCCCCTCCTTTTCACTCTCTCAAAAAAAAAAAATCAATGAAAAAAATATCCTCAGGTGAGGATTAACAACAAAAAATGAACTATTGAACATAGAAAACAAGACGGAGGAAGGATCAGTGATATCAAAGATAGGAATCTAGAAATGACAGAGGGAATAAGAGAGATATCTGAGCTTAAAGAAAAATGAAAGACCTCTAGAGAACTATGTGACTCCATCAGAAAAAGCAATATTAGAATTATGTGGGGATGAGAAATAAAAGGCAGTTGAATAGGCAGACCTGCCTTGTACCTCGTCCCAGAACTAAATTGGAGAACATTCACCTGGTATTACCAGCTGAGAAAGTGACATTTCAAGGAAGGAGAGAAAACACCTGGAGACTGGTAGAAATGGCGAGGTCATGAGAAGAGCGGATCCAGCTCCCAGAGGCAGCAGGCTGGCAGGCCAAGAGAGGAGGGAGCACTGGGCTGCGGGAGGGTCTGTTCCCTCAGAAGATAAAAGTCCGGAGCACCAGAGGCGAGACCTGCAGCACACGTAACATCCAGCCAGCTGCGAAAGGTGGCAGGGCTGCTGGCTGTAGTGGAGTCTGGAGCTGGCAGACCAGAACCAGTGGGAGAGAAAGCCACGGTTTTGTGGGGTTTGGGGGTTTTGTTTTGTTTGTTTTCTTCTCTAAACCCAGAGCACAGTTTTCATTTGCAACTGCTCACCCAAGTACTTACTGGAGGCTTTGGTGCAGGGAAGGAGCCGTGGGCTTGAAGTGCTTGAGGAGAGGATGATATAGGAAACAAGGCAGAGAGACACAGAAAAGCAATAGCCAGGAGTCCAGCATTTGGTCATTCATATGCATCCAAACCAAAATGGCCATTTTCCCTGAGATGAGCCCGTGGTGCCTACTAGCACCAGGGCAGGTGATACAGCCTGGCTCAACTTCAGGAGCCCTGCATGCCACACCTTGCATTTTGAGCTTCTTAGAGGATACAAAGGCAGAGGCCAAGCTTATGGGTCTGAAGAGTCTCAAGGGGTCCTTAGTAGCTGGATTGGAGGAGGGACCATCTGTCCCAATATTCTGAGCACCAGATTAATGAAAACTCCAGGTTCCCAGCCGACCCCATTGGTCTCCATACAAGGATCTTTGTCCAGCCAAGAGCAGAGTGATATTTTGGGACATAAGGTCACAACACTATGAGTAAGATCACAAAAAACTTACAACATAAACACGGATAATTTGTGACAACAAAAACTTATAAGGGGAGGGGGAAAGTTTTGAACTGACAAAGAAGGATGAAGATCAAATGCACTCAAAAGAACAAAAACTATGGTATATACTAGTATGTAAGCTTATTTTTTATAAACCTACTGGTAACCACACACAAAAATCTCCAAACTGGGACACATAACTTTTAAAAAAAGGAAGCAGAGGAAAGTATGGAATTCCACCAAACAAAAACAACAGACAGAAACACAAAGAAAAAGAATCAATGGAGGTACAGAGCTACCAGAGGGGGAATAAAAGATAAAATAGCAACAGGAAATCCTCATACTTCAAGTAATTACCCTAAATGTAAGTGTGGCCTGAACTCACTAGTAAATAGGCACAGAGTAATACAGTGGATCAAAAACAAAACTCAAAAATGCTGCGGACAAGAGACATATCTAAACTGAAAAGGCAAAGGTAGATTCAAAGTAAAAGGGTAGGAAATGATTCTCCATGCAAATAACATCCACAGAAAAGCTGGTGTTGCCATACTTATATCTGACAAAGTAGATTTCAAGATAATAAGAGATAAAGATGACACTTTATAATGATAAAGGGGACATTATATTAAGAAAATGTAACATTTCTTAATATATATCCACCCAACCAAAGACTACTGAAATATATAAAACAATTACAGCACTAAAGGGAGAAAAAGATCAAAACACAATCATAGTTGGGGACCTTAATACTCCATTGACAGCTCTAGACAGATCAACCAAAGAGAAAATCAATAAAGGAATATTGGCCTTAAATGAAGCACTAGAGACCAATGGACATAACTGACATTTACAGAACCTTTCATCCCACAACCTCAGATTATACTTCTTCTCCAGTGCACATGGAACATTGTCAAGGACAGACCATATGTTGAGTCACAAAACTAGCATCAACAAATTCAAGAAGACTAAAATTATACTAAGCATATTCTCCAACCATAATGCCTTGAAATTAGAAATCAACTGAGAAAAGGAAGTAAAGAAATATGATTTCACTCATATGTGGAATATAAAACTAAAACTCGTGAACACAAACAGCACTGTGGTGGTTGCCAGAGGGAAGGGGTGGGAGGAAAAGAGGGTCCTAATATATGGTGACAGGAGATTTGACTTTGAGTGGTGGGGGCATGGTGCAATATACTGATCTTATAACATAAAAACAAACACATGAAATCTATATGTCCATGTTGACCAATGCCACCCCAATAAAATAAAAATAAAAATAGGAGATATGAACATCTTAGGCAGTGGTTCTCAACCTTCCTAATGCTGCAACCCTTTAATACAGTTCCTCATGTTGTGGTGACCCCTAATTTCATCGTTACAAATTGAACATAATTAAAGCATAGTAATTAATAACAAAAACAATATGTAATTATATATATGTTTTCCAATGGTCTTAGGCAACCCCTGTGAAAGGGAAAGGAATTTAGAAGAAACTTTTTAGATAAGGATGAAAACTAAAAGTAATTTTCCAATATGAAACCCTGGCCTGTATATGATAATCATGGAATTTTTTCTGAAAATGTTAAACCAAATAACTTTAGATGTAAACGCTTCAAAATCTTAATGTATTTCTTGTGGAATATAACTGTCAATCCCTAATGACCATTTATGCCAACTAGAAATCATGAGTACCAATATCCAAATTAATGTCTATAATTTAACAAAACAGTCATCTCTCTTTACTGGTGAGAAGACCCCTGAAAATAGACCTTTCATCCCTTTATAACAAAAGGCAAAATAAAAGTTATTTTAGTGGGAATGAATCCTAAAATGGTATGTATCACAAACTGTTCACATCACTGATCATTTGCCTAGCTCTAATACACAATTATTTTTTCATTTTGAAGGTAGGTTTTTAATTTCTGGTCTCTATTTTTTTTAAATTCCTATCATGTTACAAAATATATAAATATGAATTAATTATAATTAAGTATGAAATGAATCTTTTTAGAGTCATATATTTCAAAATAAAAAAGCAAACCTTTATACACTTCTCCTGAATATCATTTCTCTGAGAAGCAAATTTAAATAGCAGCTTTTCACCATCCATCCCAGATTCTTCACTTTTCAATTTGCTAAGGTGATAATCCGAAATCCAATCCATGAAGACAGTTAAAAGTTCATAAACTTGTGCATTAAGTGGTACCTGTATGTAAAAAATTTAATGAAAATTTCAGTCCACAACTTCATAAAACTTCAAAGGCAAGCTTTAAATTTGGTTAAGTGATTATAGAATAATTTACCTAAGTCACTTCACTAAAATATGTATTCAAAAAGCTCCCAATGAAAAAAATTCCAAATCAAGTATCTCCAATTAATATTAGAAATATACTATATGCTGGCTGAGGAAAGAGGAAAACTCATCATAATAAGGAAACTGAAAGTACTACAGCTCATTACCAAAACAGAGAAGTTTCATAAAAATTCTTTACCCAAGATTGATAACACAGAAAAGTAAAATTGGTCTTAACTCGAAAGTATGAACTACCATAACTAAAAGACTTTAACAAACAAAAGGTTTCAAAAGTTAAATAATTTCTACCATGAAAATGTATCTTTTCTTCTTCTCCAAAACGTTTCATGTTTATATTATAGTATTTTATAAACACAATAAGAATTTTTTTTCTTGGAAATCCTATTCTCTGATAGTCTACCAAAATAGAAGAAAAAAATAAATAAAAGCAAAATGTCACCAAAAAATTTATAAATTCAATTGGGCTAATTTTAGTATTAAAATTATTTTTAGTCAATTTAATTCCATATTTCTCACACATCTACTTAAAGCAGGAAACTATGTATACTTCATTTAAATTTTTAAAAATCCAAAAAGAGAGAAATATAAAAGCAAATTAAATTTTAAAATTAATATAAAGGTAGCATTAAGCAGATAGCAATTCATAAAGTGAATCAGATGATTGAAAACAAAAAGCTACATTATTCTGTATAAAAAAACTTTTAACCTTCTCAATTTTCTTCAAATAAAATCTATAAATGAAAATTTCAATCATCTTGAGTACCTGATATGAAATCTCCACTTTTTCCAATTCTTTTTTAAATTAAAAATGTGTTCCATTGCCAGCATACATGGAAAGTTGAATGCCAGGAAAAGGGGGGAGGGGCATGGGAATCATGAAATAGGATCATGTAGAACTACAAAAAAACTTTGTACTTATCTGGTGCCTGGCAAAGGGGAGGGCCACCAGAGCAGTGGCTGCCAAATGGGGCCAATCCTATGTACATAGCACATCACAGGCTCCAGTCAATAGAATAGGCAGACCTTGGGCTTGGAGCACTCAGGAAATATGTGCTGATATGTGTTCCCACCCTCACTGAGTCCCTGAGGGCCTGGGTCAACATGATGATATGGCTGTGGTTACTCCATTTGTACACGGCCTCCACTTCCTGAAGACAGAACTCCTTGACAGACCGCCCAAGCCCCTATGAAGTGCTTAACGAACTGCTCTCACAATGTAAGTAGCCTGAGGTGAGCGGTTGCAGGTAGACCACAAGGTAGTTCAAGGTTCTCTGATCATTAAAGGAGGCCGACAGGTGAACTACTGAAATCTGCTACTCAACCTGCTTGACCAAGTTTATGAAAGTGTTGTGGAAATCCTCAAGTGTGAACTCATGAAGCCCTGGGACACCAGGTTCTCTTTGCTCTTCGCAGACACAGCCTTAAACCATGGTAATTCTTTGCATCTACAAGTGGAAAAGTCCAAAAGCTCAATAGAAGCAATTCCAATCAGGCCTAGTCTTGTAGTGGTTGAGTGTCAACCTACGAACCACATATTTTGTGTGGAGGTCTTTGATCTTCTGTTGACTGGTGTCATTCTCCACAAACTCCTTGTTGAAGGACTGAAAGCTCCATCAGCTCTGAGACCAGAGAGCTCTACACAGCAATCTTTTGCTGAATTTTGTTCTGTGGAGCCATGATGGCTTCATCATAGGCCAATTAACACCTTTAGCCCAACAGTAGTTCTGCTTCCCTTGCTGAGGTACCTCTGCCACCATTTTTTTTTTTTTTTTTTTCCACCATTATTAAACTCCCAATTTACTTCAGAAAAGAACTAGGGAATTCATCAAAATTATAAAAGCCCACAATGAGATATCACTACCCACATACTGGAAAGGTCAAAATGAAAAAGACTTAAAATACCAAATGTTGACAAGGTTGTGGAGCAACCAGAACAATCATTTAGCTAGCAGAAGAACAAAATGATACAACCACTGTGAAAAACTGTTTGACAGTTTCATTAAAATTAAATATACATCTGCTTTATGTCCCAGAAATTCCAGTCTTGGTAACATTTTCAAGAGGAATTAAAACACATGTCTACAAAGAGCCTTGCACACAAATATTGCTAGCATCATTATCCTATATAATAAAGAGCTAATATGCTAATTAGACCAAACAGCAGACCATCTAGACAACCTTCTGGACAAAGATGGGGCTACCAGGGCCGAAGCAGCCGGGGCTGTGAGGGCTGAGCCCCTTGCACAAATTTCATGCATCGGGCCTCTAGTCTTATATAATAAAAACGTAGTATGCAAATTGTCCCCTCGACCGGGAGTTCAACCAGAGGGCGTGGCCAGCCAGGGGAAGGAAGGGAATACCTGCCCAGCCGCCACCAGCCGCTAGGAACCCTAACAGTGCTTGGCCGAATTTCGTGCACCGGGCCTCTAGTTTATAATAAACAAAAACTAGAAACAGCTCAAGTGTCTATCAACAAAAGAGATAGACAATCAAGATGGCGGCATAAGGTATATACCTGAGGAGGTGCGGTGGAGCCAAGAGCAGAGGTACGGAGGCGCGCAAACCGGGCTGCACCTGGGGGCGCGGTTTTTATCAATCGGGAGATACAAGCTCCCGACTGCACTGAACTCATTTCTGGCGATATTCTAGGGTCCCAGACTCCTACGGGGAGAAACTGGACTGTTAGGCATAGGGTCGGAAAGCAAGGGTGGCTTTCTTACAGAACTGCTCGCAGGGATCATTGTTACTGTGAGGGCGCAGGACTCAGGGACGCAGGGACGTGGAGACCTGGAGACCTGGAAACGGCTGACAGCCATTACTGTTTGCTCTACCCTGGTGAGTCTCTGAGAGCCCACCCCACCCAATTTACAACCCCACCCAAGCTGTGCACAGCAGCGCAAATGAATCGCCTGTCCTTTTGCAGCCTAACCTAACAAACTGCAGCTGGGTCAGAGAACTCCAAAATTTCCAAACCCCAAACAAAGAGGAGAAAACTGCAGATCCCGCGGTAGCTCCTGCTGGGTGGACTCAAACAGTGGTTGAATTTGCACCTCCTTGGAGATCCAGAAGCCAGTATACCCAGTGGTCAGATACCAGATTTGAACTCTTCACATCCATAAGTGACACACTCAAGAGGCAGACTCAGTAAATACCAAAGCCCCACTGAAGCAAGTAGAACTTCTCACATCCATAAGTGACACACTCAAGAGGCAGACTCAGTGAGCACCAAAGCCCCACTGATGCAAGTCCTGACCCATAAGGGTGTCCCCAGCGCAGTAGTACTTCCACTATAGACACAGCGGGTCCTTGCATCAATAGGCCTGGAGATCATTTCCTCCCAGGGATACCAACAGCAATCAAGGCTTAACTACAACAAGACTGTGCACACAGCCGACAAAGGGGTGCACCAAGAGTGTCCACCTCAGGTGATTGGGGAGGCTGAGCCACTGTGCCCAATTGGACACCTACCACACAAAGCCACTCTATCAACACAGGGAAGGAGCCAAAATGCAGAGGCAAAGAAAATGTCACAAATAAAAGAAATGGAAGAAAGCAAATTACTGGATTTAGAGTTCAAAAACCACAGTTATAAAGTTACTCAAGAATCTTCTACAAACCTCCAAGGAACTTAGTGAGAACTTGAAGGATCTTAATGAGAATACCAAAAAAAAATGGAAAAGGACCAGGCAGAAATTAAGCATACACTGACTGAAATAAAGAATAATATACAGAGATCCAACAGCAGATTGGAGGATCCCAAGAATCAAGTCAAAGATTTGAAATACGAGGGGAAAAAAAAGACCCATCTGGAAAAGCAAAAAGAAAAAAGAATCCAAAAATATGAAGATAGTGTAAGGAGCCTCTGGGACAACTTCAAGTGTACCAACATCCGAATTATGGGGGTGCCAGAAGAATAGAGAGAGCAAGATATTGAAAGCCTATTAGAAGAAATAATGACAGAAAATCTCCCCTACCTGATGAAAGAAATAGACTAAGTCGAGGAAGCGAAGAGAAGCCCAAATAAGAGGAATCTAAAGAGGACCACACCAAGACACATCATAATTAAAATGCCAAGAGCAAAAGACAAAGAGAGAATCTTAAAAGCAGCAAGAGAAAGAACCTCAGTTACCTACAAGGCAGTACCCATACGACTGTCAGCTGATTTCTCAACAGAAACAATGCAGGCCAGAAGAGAGTGGCAAGAAATACTCAAAGTGATGAATAGCAAGAACCTACAACCAAGATTACTTTACCCAGCAAAGCTATTCAGAATTGAAGGTCAGATAAAGAGCTTCACAGACAAGAAAAAGCTAGAGTTCATCACCTCCAAACCAGGATTATATGAAATGCTGAAAGGTATTCTTTAAGAAGAGGAAGAAGAAAAAGGTAAAGATAAAAATTATGAACAACAAAGGGACAAAAAATACATATCTATCAACAACTGAATCTAAAAATTAAGTCAATAAAAAAATCTGATGAACAGAATAAACTGGTGAATATAACAGAAGCAGGGGTATAGAAAGGGAGTAGACTGACAATTCTCAGGGGGATGGGGGTGTGAAGGGTGCAGGAAGAGATTGGACAAAAATCTTACACCTATGGATGAGGACAGTGGCGGGGGGTAAGGGCATGGGGTGGGGTGGGAACCAGGTGGAGGGGAGCTATGGAGGGGGGGGGAAGAGGAACATTTGTAATAATCTGAACAATAAAGATTTATTTTTAAAAAAGGGATAAACAAACTGATATATGCATACAATAGGAAATTACTGAACAATACAGAGGAACTACTGATACACTCAACTATGATGAACATAATTAGCCTTACACAAATGAGTAAATACTACCTAATTCCATTGACTGAAGTTCTAAAATAGGAAAAATTAATTTATGATAATAGAAATCAGATCAACAACTATTTCTTGCAAGGAATAACTGAAAAGGGACATGAGAGAACTTTCTAGAGTGATGGAAATGTTCTATATCTAGTTGTAGGTTACATGAGTGTAGGCACTTGTCAAAACTGTCAAACTGTACACTTAAGAATCTGTGTATTATGTTACTACTGGTACATGTAATTTATACCCCAAAATAAATAAATAAAATTCTTAGGAAAAAAAATAATAAATGGAACCCAACGAAGGGATGGATTGCAGTTTTGATAGAAAAGTAACAATGAAGGCTTATGGAATCTCAAAACACAATGAATAATAAAGCTATTACTAAGCTTAAATTCCTGTGGTCTATCAGTGTTACTGTGCCATAAACACTGCTGAAACATTGTTTTCCTTTCACAAATAAAAGAATATTTGAGCATAGCTGGCGTGGCTTAGTGGTTCAGTGTGAACATATGAACCAGGATGTCACGGTTTGATTATAGGTCAGGGCACAAGCCTGCGTTGTAAGCTTGATCCTCAATGTGGAGCATGCAAGAGGCAGTTGAGCAATGATTCTCTCTCTTTTTTTTTAAATATGTTTTATTGATTTTTTACAGAGAGGAAGAGAGAGGGATAGAGAGTTAGAAACATTGGTGAAAGAGAAACATCAATCAGCTGCCTCCTGCATACTCCCTACTGGGTATGTGCCCGCAACCAAGGTACATGCCCTTGATCGGAATCGAACCTGGGACCCTTCAGTCCGCAGGCTGACGCTCTTATCCACTGAGCCAAACCAGTTAGGGCCAATGATTCTCTCTTATCATCTATGTTTCTATCTCTCTCTCCCTCTTCCTTCCCCTTTGAAATCAATAAATATATATTCTTTTTAAAAGGCATACTTGGAATATTATAAAAATACTAGAGGCCTAGTACACAAAAATTTGTGCACTCGGGGTGAGGGGGGGGGAGGGGGGAGGATTCCCTCAGCCCTGCCTATGCCCTCTCACAGTCTCGGACACCTTGGGGGATGTCCACCAG